GTGTGAACTATGTGTGACGAGAAACTGATGTGTGTGAACTATGTGTGACGAGAAACTGATGTGTGTGAACTATGTGTGACGAGAAACTGATGTGTGTGAACTATGTGTGACGAGAAACTGATGTGTGTGAACTATGTGTGACGAGAAACTGATGTGTGTGAACTATGTGTGACGAGAAACTGATGTGTGTGAACTATGTGTGACGAGAAACTGATGTGTGTGAACTATGTGGGACGAGAAACTGATGTGTGTGAACTATGTGTGACGAGAAACTGATGTGTGTGAACTATGTGTGACGAGAAACTGATGTGTGTGAACTATGTGTGACGAGAAACTGATGTGTGTGAACTATGTGTGACGAGAAACTGATGTGTGTGAACTGATGTTGTGACGACGAGAAACTGATGTGTGTGAACTATGTGTGACGAGAAACTGATGTGTGTGAACTATGTGTGACGAGAAACTGATGTGTGTGAACTATGTGTGACGAGAAACTGATGTGTGTGAACTATGTGTGACGAGAACGAGAAGTGTGACATGTGTGTGAACTATGTGTGACGAGAAACTGATGTGTGTGAACTATGTGTGACGAGAAACTGATGTGTGTGAACTATGTGTGACGAGAAACTGATGTGTGTGAACTATGTGTGACGAGAAACTGATGTGTGTGAACTATGTGTGACGAGAAACTGATGTGTGTGAACTATGTGTGACGAGAAACTGATGTGTGTGAACTATGTGTGACGAGAAACTGATGTGTGTGAACTATGTGTGTGACGAGAAACTGATGTGTGTGAACTATGTGTGACGAGAAACTGATGTGTGTGAACTATGTGTGACGAGAAACTGATGTGTGTGAACTGATGTGTGTGTGTGACGAGAAACTGATGTGTGTGAACTATGTGTGAGAAACTATGTGTGTGACTATGTGAGAAACTGATGTGTGTGAACTATGTGTGACGAGAAACTGATGTGTGTGAACTATGTGTGACGAGAAACTGATGTGTGTGAACTATGTGTGACGAGAAACTGATGTGTGTGAACTATGTGTGACGAGAAACTGATGTGTGTGAACTATGTGTGACGAGAAACTGATGTGTGTGAACTATGTGGGACGAGAAACTGATGTGTGTGAACTATGTGTGACGAGAAACTGATGTGTGTGAACTATGTGTGACGAGAAATGCACTGAATGTGTGGTTGTGTTAATGCCGTGTGTGAGTAGATGCGTTGTGCGTGTGTGATGCTGTGAGCGAGGTGTGGTTTTAACTAACAGGTATAAGGCTAAATGTGTGTGTCTGTATCAGAGTGTGTGTGAGTCTGTATCAGAGAGTGTGTGTGCGTCTGTTTCAGAGAGAGTATGTGTGCGAGTCTGTATCAGAGTGTGTGTGTGTGTGTCTGTTTCAAAGAGTGTGTGTGTGTGTGTGTCTGTTTCAGAGAGAGTGTGTGTGTGCGTCTGTATCAGAGTGTGTGTGTGTGTGTCTGTATCAGAGAGTGTGTGTGTGTCTGTATCAGAGAGTGTGTGTCTGTATCAGAGAGTGTGTGTCTGTATCAGAGAGTGTGTGTCTGTATCAGAGAGTGTGTGTCTGTATCAGAGAGAGTGTGTCTGTATCAGAGAGTGTGTGTCTGTATCAGAGAGTGTGAGTCTGTATCAGAGAGTGTGTGTCTGTATCAGAGAGTGTGTGTCTGTATCAGAGTGTGTGTCTGTATCAGAGAGTGTGTGTCTGTATCAGAGAGAGTGTGTGTCTGTATCAGAGAGTGTGTGTCTGTATCAGAGAGAGTGTGTCTGTATCAGAGAGTGTGTGTCTGTATCAGAGAGTGTGTGTCTGTATCAGAGAGTGTGTGTCTGTATCAGAGAGTGTGTGTGTCTGTATCAGAGAGTGTGTGTCTGTATCAGAGAGAGTGTGTCTGTATCAGAGAGTGTGTGTCTGTATCAGAGAGTGTGTGTCTGTATCAGAGAGTGTGTGTCTGTATCAGAGAGTGTGTCTGTATCAGAGTGTGTGTCTGTATCAGAGAGTGTGTGTCTGTATCAGAGAGTGTGTGTTTGTATCAGAGAGTGTGTGTCTGTATCAGAGAGTGTGTGTCTGTATCAGAGAGTGTGTGTCTGTATCAGAGAGTGTGTCTGTATCAGAGTGTGAGTCTGTATCAGAGAGTGTGTGTCTGTATCAGAGAGTGTGTGTCTGTATCAGAGAGTGTGTGTCTGTATCAGAGAGTGTGTGTCTGTATCAGAGAGAGCGTGTCTGTATCAGAGAGTGTGTGTCTGTATCAGAGAGTGTGTGTCTGTATCAGAGAGTGTGTGTCTGTATCAGAGAGTGTGTGTCTGTATCAGAGAGTGTGTGTCTGTATCAGAGAGTGTGTGTCTGTATCAGAGAGTGTGTGTCTGTATCAGAGAGTGTGTGTCTGTATCAGAGAGTGTGAGTCTGTATCAGAGAGTGTGAGTCTGTATCAGAGAGTGTGTGTCTGTATCAGAGAGTGTGAGTCTGTATCAGAGAGTGTGTGTCTGTATCAGAGAGTGTGTGTCTGTATCAGAGAGTGTGAGTCTGTATCAGAGAGTGTGTGTCTGTATCAGAGAGTGTGTGTCTGTATCAGAGAGTGTGAGTCTGTATCAGAGAGTGTGTGTCTGTATCAGAGAGAGTGTGTTGTGTTGCGATGGTATTTCTATTGTATTGTACATTACTGCATCCATGTATTTAATGTGTGTAACCAGGGACTGCAGATGGAAACATCTGTTTAGCTAAAATCTGGTGCAGAACATTTCTGTCTTTGAGCCTAATATCTCTGTATTCTTTTTTGCTGTACAAATGCTTGTGTTGATTATCATTTACTTTCTCCTTTTTAATACAATACCAAACTCAAAACTCAATCAGTTGTTTTGTGTCGCTCATTCTACACCTCACAACCCAGGCTCCTCCACAGTACTCAGAGTTGAATCGCCTAAATGACCTGTTACAATTGTCCCTTCAAATAAAGACTAAATAAATACAATAAATAAATTGAGTTTTATGTCATATTTTTGTGCACTCTCAGGCATATGTTTCAGTAATCTGGTTATAATGGCCAACGCTTAATCTTTTTAATATTATTAGCTCCGGCAAATACATGTAAGTGCCTTAGTCATACTGGCAGCGCATCAGGTAAAGTAACAGTAATTATGCAGTTCTTTGTGAGCGCTTTCATTTTAGTGAAGGTTTGACAAGGCCATCAGCAGTGTTTTAGAAGGTATTCACTTAAAATAGTCTTATAATAAATTAATGTTTGACAGGAAAAGCAGCTCAATCAGATGTTGATGGTTTATGTAATGGTCCCATTCAGACTTCATACCATTAGCAAACCATCTTTGAGGAGAAACTTGTCTTCACCAAATGTCCTCCACCCTCTGAAAGAGTGTGTCATAACTAACTTGTTCATAAGCCTTTGCCTGATCTGTATACATTCATATTTAAAAGCTAAACATTTTCACAGTTGATTGAAATCCTTCTTCAGGCGTCACCAGTACAAGCATCTCTTTATTATGGTATCGACTGAGTTCCCACAGCAGTGTGTGGCTGAGCACTTAACTGCTCAATGAGAAATTCACTTAAAGCAACTACACTTGTTTTCATGTGCGGTTTCCAGAACGTGTAGACATGAATATTTGATGCCGTTTCACCACATGCCAACTCGTGCCCGGAGCGCTGCTGAGAACGTGGTTGGTAGAACCGTTTTGAAAGTCATGATTCATCACAACAACAAAAAGAAAAGAAAAGGAAAAACATAAATAATATGTAATATATAATAAAATATATCATTCACACGTCTCTTGCGCCAACAAGGCAGAAAAACACCCGCTGTTGCACACACTCACTTTCTTTTAGTCTGTGATGCTGGAGACACAGCAGTAAGGTGCAAAAGTTTGGGGCAAACCATTCTCCCCTTTCAACAAAGTGAAATCAATTCCAGTTTTAAACCAATATATACCGACCCGGACCCCTTTTCGCCTCTCAGCACTTCATACCCAGCAGTGTAACCCAAGAACAGAACCCATACAGTGCTGTAAATGGACCCAATTAAACATTTAAGCTCAAGTCTTTGTCCCGGTAAGTTGTCCCTTTGTTGGTCTTTTCAGTTGTGCCGTTGTGAGTGGCTTGGGTTGCGTGTTGGCTGGTAGAAATCTGTCTCTTTAGACCAATTTGAAGTGGGGCGGATAATTTTGCTTCGCCTATAATTTGTATCCTTTTCCTTCAACGCGAGCTGTCCAAGAGGTGAAAAATGCAATGGCTGTTGTGTCCAGAGACGATGTAGGCTTTTTCCTGTAATAAAAGTTCCTGCTAATGGGTGGCCATGTGCGGTATACTTTCCCATCGAGAAGCAAGTGTTTAGCATGTCAAAAGAAGTGGAAGGAAACTGGGGACAGTGGTCTGATTGTTACAATGCACGGATGCGTTGTTCTTGTGAGTGTCCCTTTATGTTAAGCATGTCTAAAAGCAAGTGAACAGTGGTATAATAGGCCGGCACACAGAAAGAACCCCCATAATGAATGAAATCGACGTAACGCGACACCACCGCAGGGAGTAGCAAGACACAGACACCATTTAGCGCCAGACAATTAGCAGAGATATCCCTGTTTGAGTCCTATACTGAGGTTTGCATCAAAGAGAACTTTTTTCCTCCTGATTTTGCCTTCCTTTTCACCGTCGCAGAGGGGAGAAACCGGACCGCTCTGGACAGTCGCCAGGTCTGCTACTTTTCACAAATTTTCCAAAGTTCAATTCAGGTTCGCAAAGTCCTCTCTCCTTTCGTTGTTTCCCCCCCACGCTTGCATCAGACTAGACTTGGCGACGTATCCCTGGTTGTTCCCACTTCAGCCAAAGTAGCACTGAACGTTACAGTTAAATTGGCTTCAAAGTGCTATTATTCAAATCAGTGTGGCTCTTGCTTTGCAGACTGGCTTTGCTTTCCTGTTGTTTTTGGACTTGAGGTCGTTTTGGTCACCAGCGCAGGTATAACAGCAGATTTGGGTT